TTGTGTTTCAGAGAAAATAGCTAGAATGTAAAATTTTTAAAAATCTATTTTATTTCAATAAACTAAGGTTTATGTATCTATACTGTGCTGTTATTTTTCCCAATTTCAATGTTAAAACAACACTTTTTGATGATTTTATGATAGTTTCTGCATTAGAAATGCCTGAAATCATAAACTTTGAAGGCTGATTTCTCATATATTTTCTTCAAACAGCTGTACGCTAAAATGCTTGTAACTTCAGAAGGAAATGTTGTATTTGAACGATTTTTTTACCATTTTATAGCTCTTATTTTACTCTTTAACCCTATATTAATAACTCAAAATCGATGTTTGCGACGAGTGACTGGTTTGGTTTGTCTTTGCCACAAATGTTTATGAGCGCAATGGAAAGAATATTTTCATGAATTAAAAGATTGACTGTTCCATTCTCAACCAGGCAGAGCCGAGCTGAATGGAACAGTCAATCTTTCAACGTATGAAAATATTCTTTCCATCGTACGAATACAGAACATTCATTATTTGTTGTATAACCTAAATAGACCGGTTTGGCCTAGCCTAGCTAGCCTGGCCTAGGCCTATCCTCCGCGCAAAACCTAGCCTAGAGATCAGTCAGCGCATTTCAAAGAATAAGAGCCGAATTCCGCACAGATTTTGCGCCAATTTGAGCTAGTTCTTGAGGTATCATTCACATTCATAGTGATAATAATGATAATAATAATAACAATAATAATAAAAATTACAATATTAATTAAATAATTAATTAAAATGTTTAAAAATTCATAGAGAAAGATCTGTCGGATTTGACGGCTCAGTCCATAATTTGACAATGAAACGCAACTTTCTACTTTATTTCCCTGCATACAACGATCTTTCGAAAAAGAATGAGGATGATGCATGGTTACGGGATCATTTGTGCTTGGCGCCAAGGCCAACTGTTCCATTTTGTTTTCAAGGGGTGTTCTCTTTTGAGAGAGATTAGGCAATTAGTCAGCTTATCCAGGTAAGTATTCACGAAGTAGACCTCTCTTCTTATTTCCCTGCAGATATTATCTAAAAGTGACACTCTTTAATGATCTGCTTATTCGTTGTTTTTGATTGGCTGACAATGACAGTAAAAACAATGTTCTACTCCATTCACACAGTACACAAGCTCATCTACACTGAAGGCACTAATGTTATCGATGTGATGTATGTATAGGAGGATTAAACACCGAGATACACTGGTTTGCCTAGAAACAAACAATAAATTACAATACCGATAGGTTTATTTATTCTTATCATTCTTATCCTTACTTAGAAACTGTGATTATAATAACTAATACCAATCCATATTGATAAAATGAGCAAAATGTCATGGGAATGATATGCTTGAATGTTTTTTTTTATTTTTTTTAAATAGTCAGTCTTAACGATTTACAATCTGAGCAACAGTAATTCTTAATCCTTTAACTTATGGTTTTTTTTTAGGGGAGGGGGAGGAGGAGATGGGAATACCTGGGGGGGAGGAGGTTGGAATTTTTCATCAATACTGGATCTCCATTATTTCAATTAGTTCTAGCTTGGTAAACAATTGTTGGGTACACTGTACTAGTACATTGCCCTTTTACAATGTTATTTTTCTAGGTCAGCTTGTTTGGGGAAACTCTGAATAATTTGTTGAAAAAAATTACTGCAAGTTTGAATTCACAGTTAAGAATGTACTTTGCGTTTGACCTTAGTTAAACTGTAAATTTTAATTATGTTCATTTCCCATTCTATTACGCCTATTCCCAAAGTAGTATAATATAATGCATATCTATATGTGTACAACTCCACCCAAAAATTTGCATTAAGAAATTGACAAAATTTTATCTAAAACAAAAAAAAATATACAAAATAAGTTCAAAATAATGTCAATTTGTTGGAAGGAAGTCTATGGAAATTTATACTTAAAAACATACAAAAAATTAATTTTAAATGCAAGTACAGTATATCATATGAAATGGTTTGCTTTCTGCGAAGTTTTGTGTTTAGGCACTATGCAAATGTTAACTTAATATTCCTGTAATATCAAATCACAAAATGCTTCAATTCACTATAGAATGCATAATTACCTCATTTGCTTATCAATTCAAAGATGAATACGAAGGCATTACCGTATGATTAGAAGCTACTAATACACAGTTGTGTGGGATACAGAATAGTAATAATATGGTCAAAAAATAGCTTCTTTTTTTTAATTGGCAATTATAAATAATTCTGGAACACATAATTTTACTGGAATGCTTCGCAAAAAGACCTACAAATATTACAAAATGGTCCACAAAGTTTATACATTGTTGTATTTGAATTGTGTAATAATATATTAATTTTTTTGAAATTCCTGAGTTTTTAAAATTTTATTTTATTGATTCTCTATGAAATGGTACTTCTTCATCTTGTTTTTGTACATTATTTTTTTTATTTATCTATAATTTGTGCTTTGTCTCTTACAGGGATTGCAGAAACATTGTGTTACAATGCTTAGATGCAGATGCTTTATATATAAATTAATATACTTCATATATATTTTATACTTCGTAAACAAAATATAAAATACTTGGTATTCTGAGATTTGTTGACATTATCATCAGCAAGCATTATAAGTGCATGCTGACATCATTAACAAAGTTTCAAATAGCAGGAAATGGGAAACAGAAATACAATAAAAAGGAAATGAAGATAAAAATAAAACTGCAAAATGCTCAAAAACCTCCCAATTATTGATTAAGACCAGTAGTATCTATTGTACATGTGTATTCATGGTACTACAGTATAAATGATAATTTTCATCTAACTTGAATTTTCCACATTCAACTACACATGAGCACTACCTACCATTACGTTTTATACTATCCAGTAAATGTCATATTCCTGTAACCTTAACTTAGATTATAACTTTTTTTGTCATGCATTAGATCTTCCAACTTAGCAATATACCTCATTTTTTGTTTATTATTAATATTAGAAAAAATTGTTTTAATACAGATGCATAAAATAACACCATTCCTTAATTTTTTGCCTACAAGTTTACGTTGGCTAATACTGTAGCCTAATTTTTTCTGCTTTCATTTTAGTTCTAGTCTGCAATGTATCATTGTTTTTAATTTACTTTATAGTGTACTTTTGAATTATACATGTACTGTATGTAAGACATTTTTTATATATTATTGCTATATTACAATATGTACTAGGGATTGGAAAGCTTGCTAGTCACTGAATGGTTACATCCTGAATAAAGTAATGCTTACATAAATAATAATAATCAACCAATTTCTGTAGTTAGTAAAATGACTGTATATCTCTCAGATTAAATACTTGTCTCATTGAAAGTTGTTTATTTGTTCATTTTAACATATCAATGTATTAATTCAATTTCTCAGGCTACATTTTTTTCCTGATTTTAAGACTAAAAAAGATAGGATATTTCTTATTTAGTTGATACAAGGTTCAAAAAGATTGTGATTAACATAAATCATTAAAAATGCCAAAGTGCATTGACCGTGACAGATGCTGGTAGTGGTGCATGTGTACTTAATCCACATGTCTACATACAGTATTGTACTATTACAAGCATCCTACAATGTCTGGTCACTCTAGAAATTTTAATAGTAAAGTTAGGAACTGTGGCACATTTCAAAGAGAAAGTAAGAAAATTGACAAGATTTTAATTATATAACTCAAGTTAGCTTATAGTTTCATTATCTTAGCATTAGAAACTAAAATGAGAAGAAATGTCAGGTGTTTCTTTAATAAAACAAAAGCTATGATAAAACACTACCCAAAACCCCCTATGATAAAACACTACCCAAAACACTAGATCAAATTTGCCTTTCCCTGCCATTTATTTCTTACGTTAATCAGTATTTTTACCAAGCATGACATTACTGTTTTCTATACTTTTGCACTGATTTTCAATGTACAGTAAGTTATACCAAGCCACCACTGTAGGTCACATCAGCAACATCTATGCATCATGAGTTCCATTCATTGGCAGAAGTAGTGAAAAATGTCGTCACATGATTATGTTTTCTTCAAACCACATTTTATAAGACTATAGAATTTGTAATGTCTGTCCAGGAAATGGCAGTCTTCCGCACATTCCCACAAGGAATCAGAAACCTCCTGCAAATCAACTCATCTCCCACAAATAAACATTTTCTCCCTGCAGTACACTGGTAGTGTGGTAAAGAGATCCTGAAGTGGATGTGGCCTAACGGGGGAGGGGGAAGGTTTCACGGAGCCAAAGCACCACCATTTTTGTTGTGAATGGTACCTAGTTTGTGCCTTGCGTAAAGTTCAGTGGATGTACCATTTATACTCAGCCCCTTCCCCAACCGCCAACCCAACCTTTTAAAATCCTGGATATGCCACTAAGTGGTGTCTTCCAACTTGTGAATCTTGGATATTGCTTACCTTTTCCTTCAGATGACGATCCTTTTAATTCTATGATAACATGTACCTTGCCCGTTGGTTCCAGATCAATCTAAACAAAATGAAGAATAAACATTGTTAATATTACATAATTTACCAACATCATTTGACAACTATTTCACAACCTGCTTATTATAAATGGTTTTGCTATTATTCACATTAAGATCAACATAACAACAGGGGTCCCAAGTTCCGGGAGATCTGTTTAAATGAGTTTCCTTTTAATAACACATCTAATTATATTTTGCTATACGTGTGTGCCATGGCACTCACTTCCGGGAGACAATTGATATACAGTAGTAAAAGCATAATATTACCAATTTGCAGGGAGATGGGTTATTTTCTGGGACATCCCCGTGACTTGCAAGAGACTTTGGACTCATGCAACAGAAAAGTCAACACTAGTGTCCAGTTTCATGTCCTCCATGTGATATAATGCACTGTATTTTGAAAGAAATGTTTGAGCTATAATGCACTGTATTTTGGAAAAAATGTTTGAGCCACTAGTCCAATGTAGAAATATGGCTAATGTATTAAATCAGTAGACTATCGGAGATCAGGGTATTGTCTTCCATTACTGCAAGCTGCGCATCTTACCATTAGAGGTGGCAGATAACATTCTCTAGGGGCCAACCAAACATTTCACATTTTCTTGATTTAATAGGACCAATTGAGTTAACTTAAATACGTTTCTATCTAATCACTCATATAGGGACTATAAACTGCAGGCTTAGTGTACAGTATCTAATCACAGGATTGAGCTAGTGTCTGAGCAGTTAATCGGTTCAGAAATCAGATTGATAATGCTTTTAAATATTGTTCAGGTTCACACGAGAGCCCGAGTATCCGGATTGGGAGCTAACCATTAACGCTAACCGTTAACACCCGTGCGAGAATGCCCAATCGGTTAGAGCTAACCAAGATCCGGATACGCTAATGGCTAGTGCTATCGGTTAGCATGTTGAGCGCGTGTCTACCATTAACCAATCACACGTTTCCTATTGGCCAATAATCCAATCATCATTTTCTTGGTATCTCGATCAGGGCTTTTCTTATATGAACGAATGGGTAAGCGCTTACTGTACGTTTGTTATCCGGATCCTGCTAACCGTTAGCTGCCATGTGTGAACATAGCCACAACACAAAAAAATAAAAATGAGGAGATAACATGGCACTGTAATAAAAGTAAATCAACAATTTTTTTTTTCATAAAAATGCCATTTTTTCACACAGGTACATGTACTGTAGTTGCGTTAAGAAGCCAAAAATAAAATAATTGTTATCATCATCAGCAGACACTATGTAATGCAAGGTATGGTAAAATCTTTGGTTTTTTTTTTAAATATATTTTTATAACATTTTACTGGGAAAACAGTATTGTTTGTATTCATACTACGACATGAAATGAACTTTGAAAAAACCTTTGTTTTTATTGCTTGAGTATTGATCCTAACTACAGTAGGATCTTTGTTAAATTATATAAGATTTGTGTTCACATTTCATACATTATTTGCAGACACTGCTAAGAACACTATACTTCTAAGGAATACATGTATGCCTAGAGCTGCTGCACGTACAGGTTCTAAGAACGTGTGGAAAATCTCTCTAATGAGTGCCTGAATGAAATGACTGGATGAACTAATTGCGCATGTAGATGTTCCACCTCTACTCTCTGATGAAAATTTACTGGGTATCCTTGAAGCTATACTTAATTAGAAAGTACATGTAAGAACATGTACCAGATAGCTGAGATGATTATTAATTTATTCAGTCTTCAGTTACAGTAATGTTAATAGTGACAATACAATATATACAATCAGCAAAGCAAATTTAAAACCAAAATATAATCTACCGTACATTTTATGGGTGTTCTTTTAGCGTCTCATAGGTCCAAGGTTGTGGTAATAATTAATTGAAATCAAACAAATTATATTTTTTTTATAATTGTTTAAATGACAATTTGTCATTGTTCCTTTCTCGATATATTTTCGGTGTTATTTAATTTTTAGGTTTAATAATGAAATAAATTAAACTTTTCTCTATTTTTCCTCAATTTTTAAAATATTAATTATAAATTGTAATTAAAATCTACAAGCTCTATCAAGTTTCTAGGCTGATTCTTTTTATCTATAATTTATCTTTTATCTCAATGTCTAGATAAGTACGAAGATAGATTATTGAACTAAAATGAATAAATAAAGCAAATGATGTCTTCCAAAAAGATTTATCTTGCCATGAATTTTAGTTTGACCTCTACTAAAAGGTCATAAGGTCGCTCTTATACAGTGTATCTGCAAGTGGTCAACTGGTCATCGTAATCTTCGACCATTTCATAGTGAAGTTTATCACAGTTTGACCATGGTTTTAAAGTATAACAAAGCAACAGTACGTGGTTAAGTGCTCGCACTAATACCGTATGTTCCACCTAGACAATCTTAATTATAACCTCAGTGCAAACAGTTCAGCATGGTTTGAGTAATGAAAGTGCCAATCCAAGTATAGTATGCTCTTTATAGGAACTTCCAATCACTGTGGAAAAACTTTCAATCAAAATCTTTCTAATTTGCTCTGGTTTGAAGATTATGATTCTACTTGCCTCATGTCAACTCTTTTCACCCTACCTACTATAGCTTAAGATATAGGCCTACAAGTTAAACTACAGTTTAATAGGTCGAAACACTAGCCTTCAAACTCGCCTGAAGTTTACTCGGAAGAACCATGCTTAAAAGATTCAAATTTAAAATTGTGGAGATAAATACTATTAAAAAAATGTTGTAGGCCTACATAATTAAGAGTTTGCGCAACAGATACATCTTCCCAAAATTACATGGCATATTTTGAAGGTTTGACGTGAAGCTAAACTGACAAAAAAATATACAAAAGCTACCAGCGAAGGAAAACAGAGTTTCAATAAAATAATTACTAAATAAAGAAAATATCACTGAAGTTGTGCAGAATTTCTGGTGGATTAATATGGAAGACAAATAATGCTATAATGAGACTGCAACATTGTGCGAGATATTCATTAATCTAGCATCTGCCTACTTGACATTTTAAAGACTTTACAATGAAGGAATTTTGAATATCAGAATAAACTATGTTTTGGAAATATAGGAAAAACTGCAGATTAAAAATCCTGATATTTTAAAAATTTGGTTTACAAACTCACTGATTATTTAAATTAAGACTGGGCTCACGCTAACCATGGGCGAAAACTATTTTGGATTGGCGAAAAAAAAAAGTCAACTGCTTTAGTCATTTTGGCGAAAGCCTAAAATCAAAAATAGTTTTAAATACTTGCTAAAATACATCGTTTTTTTCATTTGAACTCCATTTTTCGCTAATGCCATGCGACGCTTATTTGTGTTTGTATGAGTAGTCTTGCTGCAAACGTCATTGCATGCCTCGCAAGTTATTTTTTATTTGTAATTGTTATTTTAACACGGTAGATGCAGGGCAGCGGCTGTATGACGTAGACTAGTAGAATAATCAAGGGCCGATGCGATGTATGGTGGTCGAAAGAGTATATCCTAGTATCGTTAATAATTTAATCAGTGATTTCGTGTTATCGTCAAAGACTTAAAATGCATTTAAATAATGTCTGAAATAATTTAAAGAGCACCGCGTGGGTCACTTGTTTTGTGTTGTAGAGAGTAATTTCGCAAGCAAGGGTAGCCTAGTCTAGGACAGATCGTGTACGCTCTTGATTATCGCAGTGACAATTTCGTGTGACCGACGATAGGGCCCAACTGTTGTAAACAATCGGGTCACAAGCCAATTCTGAATATAATGTAGTCTACAGTAGTTAAACCACCGCCAATATCGTTCAAAAGCAAAAAGAAAACTCTATAGGCATAGGCCTACATAATTTTTTTAACTTTTGTGATAGGCCTAGGCCTACATATTCAGCAAACTTTCAAAGTATCTTATTTACTAGTGTACTAACAATATTAATTTGCCTATCAAACAACGTTATCTCCCCACCTCCCAGAACGTACCAGAGATTTTTTTTATGGTACCCTCATCGAGGCAGGGGTGGATTTAGGGGAGACCCCCCTGCTTTTTTTTTGGAAAGTGCCTCAGAGGTTTATTTTTAGGCGTTTTTGAGAGAGAAAAATGTAGGACCCCCCCTAGAGTAGTGTTGTCTTGGTTTGGACTCCACTGTCAAACATGTTAGACACCATAAACTGTCAGCAAGTTTTGGCTAAGGGCACATAGAAAATATTATTAGATTATCAATCTTTTTTTTTTTTAAATTGATGAGGGAGGGTGGTTTTTTTTTGTCTTTTTAAATCGGAATGTTTTTATCGATGAGGGAGAGACTGCTTATGTTTGGCCTTTAGTAAATATTATTAAAAAACTGGTTTAATTTTATAGTTTTTTAAAGAAAATGTATTTGAAGTCACAAAATTGCAGTTATTTTTATGCTGTTGAAATTTTTTTATTCCCGCATCAATATTTCCCGAATTTTTGACGCGGGCGGGAGTGATAATCTAATAAATTTTTCTATTTGAACTAATGATTTTTAACAATTTTCATCAAATTTTGGCTAAAGACAGCTTCAATTGGCTAAACAAAAAAATATGTTAGAGTGACTCCAGTAAGTTTAGTGGAAAATTTTAAATAATGTTGAGTAACAAACCGCAAATATTTTTGTCAGCAGTACCACATAAGGTCTCTGCTACAAGACAAAGACCTAGCTACAGATGTGGCTTTATAACGACTGACTGTGTATACTTCAATATTTGAAAACAGGGTACTGTTTGCCATTCTTCTTCAGCATTCAAGACATGTTCAACATTAACAAACTTGTTCATTTATTAAATATAAAAGGTGAATAGATATTGTACATTCCAATTGAATAGGGCCGGTGTTTGGTGAGTCATTATCATCTGTTTGTATTGGATTGGATTTATTCGGTATAAACACCAAGGATAGCCCACGAAAGTCTAAAAAAGACTTATTTTCAGTGGGGTCCTTCTGGTGGTGATTGGGCAGTACACTGGGAGACAATCCCCTACTCTTTTCCGAAGAGTGCACTGCGTTCTTTAA